TCACTCTCAGAAATGACCTGGTGCCTCCCAGCTTGCCCCTCACCCTAGGCTTGGATGGCCCCACTCGGAAACCCTGCCCCGTGACCATGACTCTGGAGCCTCGAGGCCCTTCAGCCTCCTGAGGACTTTGACTCCGGGAGCCTTCCTCCGCCCGCCCTGGCCTGCTTCCTGGAACTCCCCGCCCAAGCCCCGGCCCCCAGCTGCCCTCTGGCCGGCCTGACCCGCCCTCCCTAGGAGGAAGTCCATCAGCACCCTGGAATCTCCTGACCCATTTCCCAGGAGCACTGCTGAATACATCTGAAAGTACAGCATAGTCCTTTCCCTCCCTATTCACCCCAACCCAGTCAACTCTGTAAGTCAGGCCTTTGAGAAATTCTACAATTTAGACTTCAAATTTTCACCACTATTTTTTTTCTTTTTTTTTTTTTGGTACTGGGAATTAAACTCAAGGGTGTTTTACCACTGAGCCACAATCCCAGCCCTTTTTTTATTTTGAGACAGGTTTTCACTAAGTTGCTTGGGGTCTTTGCTAAGTTGCTGAGGCTGGCTTTGAACTCACGATCCTCCTGCCTCAGCCTTCCAAGTCATTGGGATTACAGGCGTGCGCCACCACGCCTGACTTGCTCCTTTACACCAGCCCTTCATGGCTCAAGAGTTACTGTGACTATAAATTCATGCTCCTGTTATTGAGAGAAATGATAAAGGAAAAGATGGTACCAATAAGGCAGAACCTGGCATAATCATGTATTAAAAGCACTATCAAAAAGTTACCGTGTGTTATGTTTTCCTAGTTGAATTACATTTTTGGATATAATAGTAGGACTTGTTGCCCAAGCACTCTCTGAGGGCCATAAGGCAGGGCATAGAGTTGTTCAGTAAATTGAATTTTGTATTTTAAAAACAAACCAAGTTGGGCAGAGTGGCCCACTCTTATAATCCCAACAACTGGGGAAATTGAGGCAGGAGGATCCCAAGTTCCAGGTTAGCCTAGGCATCTTAGGGAGACACTGTCTGGATATTAAAAAATAAAAAGGACTGAGGATGTAGCTACAAGGCAGAGCAACTCTGCTCTAATCCCCAGTACCAAGGCAGAAAAAAAGTTACTAATTTGCCAATTATCCAAATTATTTTAGTGAGTTTTGTTTTGTGGCGCTAAGGGCTGAACATAGGGCTCCTACATGCTAGGCAAATGCTCCAACACTGAGCCGTATCCCCAGTGCCCCCCCCCCCTTTTTTTTATGGGGATGAAACCCAGGGGTGCTGAACCACTGAGCCACATCCCCAGACCTTTATAGTTTTTATTTCCAGACAGTGTCTCCCTAAATTGCTTAGAGTCTTGCTAAATTGCTGAGGCTGGCCTCGAACTTGAGATCCTCCTGCCTCAGTCTCCCAAATTTCTGGGATTACAGGAGTGTACCACCACACTCAGCTACCCAGTTACTTTTTTTTATATATAGTTATAGATGAACACAAAACTTTTATTTTACTTATTTATTTTTGTGTGGTGCTGAGATTCGAACCCAGTGCCTCATGTGTGCTGAGTAGGCCAGCACTCTACCTCTGAGCTACCACCCCGGCCCAAGGTACTTTTTATTTTTATTTTGAGACAGGATCTCCCTAAATTATTGAGCCTGGCCTCGAATTTGTGATCCTCCTGCCTCAGCCTCTTGAGTAGCTGGGATTTCAGACATGTACCACCATGTCTGGATCTAATTATAGTGTTTTAATCTGTGTTAAGAGGGGGACATTTTTTTAGAAAGCAACATACACAACAGTTGAAGAGCCAGGTGCTTTTCGCGTAGAAAGGGGAGAATGTTTAATGCGTGTGTATCCCTTTCTTTGGAAGCATCTACAAGAAACCAGTAATACTGACTGTGGGGAGAGAACAAGGAGTGATTGCCAGCAGGACCGGAGGGGGGAAGAGTTTCGAATTTATCCTTTGTACCTTTTGAATCTTGAACTATGTGTACCACAGCCTATCGAAAAATAGATCAATACTGCGGGGGCAGGTGTTGATTGGGAGGGGCACGAGGGAGGCTCTAAGGTTCTGGGAATGTTCAAGGTCTTTGTGGTGATGTGGGTGAACCTGTGGGAAAGTCGCCCAGCTGAACACTTACCGTGAGTTATGCTTCCAAAAGGATAATGTCTTTTAATGGGGAAAAAAAAGAAATATATTAAAACTATGCAATATGTTTAAAAGCAGGTACGGTGCTGCACACCTGCACTCCAAAGGTTGACGCAAGAAGATCAAGAGTTTGAGGCCAGACTGGACAACTTAGTGAGGCCCTATCTCAAAGTAAAACAGAAAGTGCTGGGGATGTAGCTCAGGGGCAGGGTGCTCCCGGGTGTAACCCTCAGTACATCAGAAAGAGGAGGGGAAGGGGGGAGAGAGAGAGAGAGGGAAAGAGGTTAAAGCAGGGTATATTGCCTTGATTCACAAAAATATAGGTTTCTGCAAATTTTACTCCTTCTAGAAAGTAGAGTATCATTTCCAACTGATCTCCACTCTAATGTCTAAGACGTGTTCTGTGTTATTCCAGCTAGACAGCAGCAGTGCTGGTCTTGGCCTTGGTGTTAGAGAGAGGGGAAGGGGAACTGAGTTTCCCCACAACTTGAGGAATCAGAGCCCTGCTGAGAGCTGAGGACGAGAAGAAGGGTCCCTGCCTGGGAGCTCGCTGGGCATTGTGAGTCCAGCACCAGAGACACACAGAAAATCCTTAGGCCAGGCGGGGTGGCACACACCTGTAATCCCAGCAGTTTGGGAGGCTGAAGAGGGAGGCTTCCAAGTTCAAGGTCAGCCTCAGCAATTTAGCAAGGCCCTCGATCACCAAACAAGACCCTGCCTCAAAATTAAAAACCTAAAAAGGGCTGGGGATGTAGCTCACTGGTTAAGCTCCCCTGGGTTCAATCCCCAGGCCCTCCCACCCAAAAGAAGATTTCCTGAGAGGCAGCAGAAAATGGAAATCGGGAACCTAATCCATAATAATATTGGTGAACTAATAACCACTCACTTGCTAAGCTTCTGCCATTTTTAAAGCCCTTCGGTGCCCATGACATCAGCTGACCCCTGGACAACCCTCTGAATGGACAGGGCGGCTGTTGGTCGGCCCATTTTATGAATGAGGAAAGAAGCTGAGACCCAGAGTGAAGTCACAGGAGGTGGCAGAGCCCAAACTGGACCCAGGGTTTCAAGTTCTAAGCCTGTGTGCTATGTGCTTCCCGCCAGCGCCCAGCAAGTCCGGCTTCCCGTCCACCAGCTGCAGATGGGGCACCTCCTGGAACCTCTGTGGCTCCCTGTGCCCATCTGTGTGGTGGCATTGCCTTGAGGACCACGGCGAGACGGACCCCACCCACCACCCCTGAGTTCTGGGGTCCTTTTGGCTGGTTCTAGGGACCCCATTAGCACAAGAGCTCTGTACCAAGAGCAAAGCATAAAAGTTTTATTAAATCTGCGCAGACATGGGGCTCTCCCCAAGAAAGTTCAAAGAAAGGACCGAAGCACGAGTTTTTATACTTTTTCGATAATGACTGACATGAGGCTGAGGCAGGAGGATCACGAGTTCAAAGCCAGCCTCAGCAAAGGGGAGGCCCTAAGCGACTCAGTGAGACCCTGTCTCTAAACAGAATGCAAAACAGGGCTGGGGATGGGGCTCAGTGGCCGAGGGTCCCTGAGTTCAATCCCAGGTACCAAAAAAGAAAAGAATGACTGACATTGATGGAAATACAGGAGAAGTGGATCCCTGGACTAGGAAAGCCAATTCTAAGGACGTCACTAAGAGAGAGACTGGGGGTGTGAACAGGGGGTGGTGAAGGTGAGCGTTCCTTAAAGGGCTTGTTTACTCAGCTTCATTGCAACCCCGAGCACCAGTCTCTGTGACCAAGGCTGTTTTCAGATTTTGGTGTCAGAAGAACCCCCCTCCCCAAAGAATCTCTGTGGCTGCCCCCCAGAAGGAGAGACAGGCCAAATGGCTCACAAAGTGACCGTCCCTCCAGTGTTTTCAGCTTGGAATCATCAGTAGACCAACGTGGCACATTTTGAAAAGTCACATCCTTTACTCCTTCAGGGTTACACAAGTGGACACATGGAAAGGACATAGTAAGTGTTCACTGAACGTTAGCTCTTGCAGGTCTCAGCGGCACACGCCTATAATCCCAGAGACTCAGGAGGCTGAGGCAGGAGGATCACAAGTTCAAGGCCAGCCTCAGCAATTTAGAGAGGCTCTAAGCAACTTAGTGAGATTCTGTCTCAAAATAAGAAAATTAAAAAGGCTGGGGATGTGGCTCAGTGGTAAGTGACTCTGGGTTCAATCCCCAGTACCCAAAATCAATCAATCCATAAAAGTTAGCTGTTGTTTTTTGAGCGAGAACTGAGGAGATGGCCAAGATGAGAAACATGAGTGAGGGTCATGGGGAGAAGAAAAATCCGGAGGTAGAAAAGTCCCCAGCGAGTCAGCGCTCAGCCCCGGGCCTGCCGGTAACAGCAGGAACCATGTTCAGGCAGAGGCCAGGGTCAGTGCAGGAGCCCAGTAGGAAAGGACCCTCGCCCACGGCTTCAGCCTGCAGAAGTTCTTTCCTCAGCCCCAGTCTAGCTGGCAGCTGGCCCAGGACAGAGTGTGGACAGGTGAGAGAGGGAGATGCAGGAGGTGTCCTCACTGCCTTCGAGGGGCGGGTGGTCTGCTGGTTGTAAGCTCCAGAGCTGACCCTGTGACCGGAGGCCTGAGAACCCCGGGCCCTGGGGCCAGGGGCCTGTTAAAAATGGGGGCTGAACTCTACTCCCCCCCCCACCGCCAACTCCCAATTTCCACCATGACACAAATTGCTCAAAGGCTGGTGACTTGTGGGCCATTCATCTCTAACCAAGTCCTGATGGAACAAGAGGCCCAAGCCTAGGGGATGCAAAGACGGCCCATTTCTTAAATGATACCAGTCCCAGTCAACATTTTGGTGACATTCTGGTTAAATTTCCCAATTGAAAACGAGCCAACAGACACTCAAACTGGTTGTGTAAATGTTGCTAGACTTTATGTGTTGTCCAACTAAACACTGATGTTTGAACAAAGAAAAAAAAATGGGGGCTGAGAGTCAGAGGCGCTGACTTGCCAATCCTTACGTCTGCCCATCTCCATGGTATAAAGACGCCCACTCTTCCCGATTTCAAGAGAAACAGGTCCTGGAGTCCAGCCACTGGGAGGGACCAAGGAGTGAGGTCCTGAGATCGTGGTCAGTTAGGAGGCCCGTGCCCTGGTCCCTGAGAGAGTTGAGAGCTGCTCTGTGACCTCAGATACTCCACTTCACCTCTTTGACCTCCAGTCACCTCCAGAGAAGGAAAGAGCACCCGGTGGCCGCCAGCCTGGCGAGGACTGGCCAGGCTGTCCTTCCCAAGCGCCTGCCCAGTCTGAATTCTGGGAGGCCGAGATGAATAAAAGAGGCGGAGGCAGGTTCTGTGACCTCACCCACAGTGACAGCGGTGATCCCTAGGTATGGGACGCTCACCTTGCCCTGTCTGAGCCCCACAATTCCTCTGACTGTCCCCAGATCTTCACTGAAGAGGGACCAGGGGCCAGGAAACAGCAGTGAACCAGAGACAAAGTCCCTGCCCTCCAGGGACTTGACGTTTTTTAGTAGTGGTGACAGATATTAATCAAATAAGCAGAAAATAGATAAGGCAGTCTAATGTCGGTGTGATTATTATAAAGTGGAGCAGAAGGGACAGAGAGTGGCACAGGGCACTAGGAAAGGCAGGTGGGCAAGAAGTACCTTTCCCTGACGCAGAGGCCTGAGTGAAATGAGGGAGCACACCACGTAGATTTCTGGGGCCAGAACTTTCAAGGCTGAAGGAGTAGCAGGTGCAAAGGTCCTGGGGTGGGAGTGTGCTGAGGGAGAGAGAGAATGGGTGAGGAGAGGACCAAGCTCTGACAGACAGCCAGGGGCCAGATCACAAAGGGCCTGGTAGACTAGATGAGTAGGACATCAGATGGACTTCTGACTGGATGCCCCTGGAGGGTTGAGAACAGGTCACTGGATCAAGTTTCAGATTTAAAAGAATCTGTGTGCAGAAGGACTGTGGTGTGGTTGGGGGGGACGGAGCTTGGGAAACTTTTTTGGGGGACGCTCTAACATACACACACACAAACAGGCCTCCAAAGCCCTGGAGATAACAGTTGCTGGGATCAGAGAGGCTGAGGTGAGGAGGGGCCCCTCTGGAATGTTTCCTGAAGGTGGAAGCAACTGGAACAAATTATCCCAGGAATGTTGGAATGTGCATAAAGAGCCAGCGAGGAAGGATGCGAGGACCCAAGGACCAGGGGCTGCGGCCTCCTGCTGCGGGCCTGGGGCTCTGTGTGCGTTATCTTGTTTGACTTCACACCAAATCCTGCAAAGAGGCTTTGCCACCATTTGACCAAGAGTCCATGCAGGCTCTGCCCGAGGTCAGGGGGAGCACTCAACAGCACTGGGGTTCCAGCTTTCCTGACCGTCCATAGGGTGCCCCTCCACCGTACCAGCCCTGGGATTTCGAAAGTATTAGCATATGCTTGGCACACAGTCGGTGCTTCAATGATCACTGTTTGCAAAATATTTACTATTAAAGGTCCTTATTTCTTTATATTCATAATCTTTGAAAAGCTCGTGAGCACTACATAGGCACCAACATTTTTAAGATAAACAAAAACCACCAGGCACAGTGGCGCACACCTGTAATCCCAGCGACTCGGGAGGCTGAGGCTTGAGGATCACAAGCCTCAGCCGCTGAGTGAGACTCTGTCTCAAAATAAAAACGCAAAAGGGCTGGGGATGTGGTTCCATGATAGAGCGCCCTGGCTTCAATCCCAGAACCAAAAATAAATAAAATAAAAACACCCCCTCCCCCCCCAGCCCTGGCTACATCAAACACTGTGGGCAGGGACGCTCATGCATCAAGGGTGTGAATGCAGATGGGGTCACCAATGTGGAACCACCACGTCGGTGGTTTTGGTAAAGTTCATCACACGCTCCCCACGCAGCCCAGTGGGCCATTCTAGACATTTACCCTGGAGAAGAGAGACTGTGCTCACACAAAAACCCGGACATGGATGTTTCTAGCTCAAAGCAGCATCTCTCAAAATTGTCACAAGGGCAAGTATCCGAGTGTGGATCTGAAACGCCTCCAAAGACTATGGAGGGGCTCAGAGGGGAAGCCATTGGCTCCTGAGGACTCTGACCTCACCGATGGCTTCAGCCCTGGGGGTCCATGTTGATGGTCTTATTGGAAGGTGACTATTGGCAACCCTAGGAGATGGGACCTACTTCAAGGAAGCAGGTCGCTGGGGGCGTGCCCTGGAAGGGTCCATCTTGTCCCTGATCCCTGACTTTCATTCTCTGTGTCTCTCCTTCTCAGCTTCTCTGTCACCACGTGCTCCTGCTACTTCACCTTGGGCCCCAAAGCCATGGAGACCGTTGACCACGGATTAGAACTTCTGAAACTGGCAGCCAAAACAAACCTTTCCCGCTTGAAGCTGCTTTTCTCGGGCATTTTGTCACAGAGACGAAAAGCTGACACGGGCAGGAACCAGTGTCCTTCAGTGGTGAGCAGAGAGGCAGGCGGCGCTGTCCCCACCTGGGAGAGGACTCCTCAGCCGTGGGAGGCAGCGAGTCCAGGTAGAGGCCGCGTCATGGTGGAGTCTCAGGACACAATGCGGAGCAAAAGAAGCCAGGCTCAAGCCACCAGGATCCCATTTATGTGACACTGGACAGGCCAAAATCATAGGTCAGAAGAGGTTGCCAAGAGGCAAGGGGTAGGCTTGGGATGGCCACACAGGGCAGTGTGGGGGACTTACGGCAGGATGGCGGTGCTGGCTAGTGGCTGTGCCCTTTTTCTAAACTTTGAGGGCTCTGCTAGAAAGGGTGGGCTTGCCATCCCACCCACCTCCGCTCACCCAACACCGCCCTGAGCCCAGGGCCTCGTCCCTCCCCCTGACCTTCCTCCACCACCCTGAACTCCGCAGTGAAGCCACTTCCCATGCAGACTAAACCCTCTAGAAAAATTTAGGGACCAGAGCTCAAGAGCTGGCCTGTCCCCGCTGATCCAACTGCCCCGTAGTCTCTGGTGCGCTGTGACTTGCCCATCCCGGGGGGGGGTTTTCAGGTGACAGGCATGGGTGCAGCCTGGATATTGGAATTTTTTTCCAAAAGCTTTCCAGGGAGTCAGGCGCAGTGGCTCACATCACACCTAAAATCACAGCAACTCCAGGGGCCGAGGCAGGAAGATCTCAGGTTCAAGGGCAGCCTGGGCAATGGAGCAAGACCCTGTCTCAGCGTAAAGTATGAAAAGGGCTGGGGATGGGGCTCGGCGGTGGAGCGCCCTTGGGTTCAGTCCCTAGTGTCCCCCCACCCCTCACCTTTCCAGGGCATTCTAGAGGCCTAGACTCGGAGGTCCCCAAGAGCAGGGACAACCACTTATTCAACTTTGTGTTTCTAGATACTCGGTAAATGCTTGCAGTGTGTGACCAGAGGCAGCCGCACAGCCTGGAGAGCAGATGGTCACCACAGTGACTTGGGACAGTTACCACTGGCCACCGCTGTGGAGTGCTGGACACTTATTCATTCAGTTAACACCCTCCTCCCCCACCCTTAGGGAAGAAACCCAGCAAGGGCGGTGGAGCTTCTAAGACCCCACAGCCACTAAGAGGCCCCACTGGGTGGGGTCTGCCAGGGCTGGTGGTGGCCTGGACCCCCAACCCCTGGGAGACACTGCCCCCTAGTGCCAGCCGGGGGAATCAGCGGGGCCCAGGTGTGAACTGAGGTCATGACTTACAGGCTGGGTGACCTCGGGCCAGTTACTTAACCTTGCTTGACTACTTTGCTCATCTACCAATGGGGACACTTGAACGGATGTCAAAAAACTGTTTTGGGAGGTGGGGGTGTGGCTCAGTGGTGGGGCGCCTGCCTAGTATGCCACATGCCCCACTCCCCAGCATAAAAAAAAGTCTGTTTGGGGAGGAAGTGACAGGCACTTAGTGCATAGTAAACAATATGGTAGCCCAGCGATCACAGGAAGAGACGGATGAATGACGGCATGAAGCCTGTTCCCAGAGCCCAGGATTCTGGTGGCTGAGAAAAGATGTCCCAGGAGGAAGGCAGTGGGGAGGGTTGTGGGGGGTAAGGTTCTCTCCCAGCTGACTCGAGGTCCATCAGGGCCACCAGATATGTCCCCCTGAAGCCGGGCACAGTGGCGGTGCACTCCTATAATCCCACTCCCTGGGAGGCTGAGGTAGGAGGACACAGATTCTTTTTTTGGGGGGGGAATACCAGGGTTGAACTCAGGGGCACTCGACCCCCGAGCCCCATCCCCAGCCCTATTTTGTATTTTAATTAGAGACAGGGGCTCACTGAGTTGCTTAGCACATCTCTGTTGCTGAGGCTGCCTTTGAATTCAGATCCTCCTGCCTCAGCCTCCCGAGCTGCTGGGATTACAGGCCTGGGCCGCTGTGCCCGGCTAAACATTAACTTCTTAAGGCCTTCCTTCATTTTCCTTTTAAATACACACACAAGCGGGTTAGCAAGGATGGTGGAATGGGATGGACATCATTATCTAAAGTACATGTATGAGGACATGAATTGGTGTGAACATACTTTACATACAGAGATATGAAAAATTGTGCTCTGTTTGTATAATAAGAATTGTGATGCATTCCACTGTCGTGTATTTAAAAAATAAAAGCAGTAAAAAAATAAATAGGGGCTGGGGATGTGGCTCAAGCGGTAGCGCGCTCGACTTGGCATGCGTGCAGCCCGGGTTCGATCCTCAGCACCACATACAAACAAAGATGTTGTGTCTGCTGAAAACTAAAAAAAATAAAAAATAAATATCAAAAAATTCTCTCTCTCTCTCTCTCTCTCAAAAACAAACAAAAAAAAGAAACAACATTTTAAAAAAATAAATAAATACTCACACACGCGCGTGCACGCACACACGATCTATGCTCTTTGTCACTTTTTTCTTCTGCGGGGTGAGCAGCTGTCCCGTTTGCCTGGAAAGGGAGTGGCTTCCTGGAACTGAAGACTTTCAGTTTTAAGGTTTGAAAGTACAGGCTGGTTGGGCCCCTTATGGGAGCACTTCTCACACTGTGTGCTCTCTATTTCACTTCTTCGTCTTGTTGCCTGTGTCCTTCACTAGAACGTGACCTCCATGAGGGCAGGGACGCTTGAACTTTGCAGGAACTGCGTGTGGTTCCTGCAAGATGCTTGGTATTGTTGGGTGAACGAGTGAAGGGGGCCCGTGGCTGGCCCCGAGAGAGTCGGTCACGGAGCTCCTGTCCTGGGGAAGGAGCCCACGGTGCTCTACGCTGAATCACATCCCCAGCTCTTTATCTATTGAGACTGGGTCTGGCTCAATGGCCCAGGCTGGCCTTGAACTTGTGACCCCCCTGCCTCGGGAACCACTGGGATTACAGGTGTGTCCCACGGCACCTGGCTTGTTGGGCTTTTTAAAACCACCTGCAGGGGAAAAAATACACACCCTCCAAATGGGAAGTGTCCTCCAGCCAGAGGCCACCCTGGCCCAGGGTGGGTCAAACACCTGTGACTTGTCCATTCCTCCCCACGCCCTTCCCATCAAGGGCAGAACCCAGCAAGATGGAACTGCCCGGAAGAGCCAGGGGCCCAGGCCCAGGCCACTGCTGACCACTGCCACCCCCTGGTGGTCTCCTGTGGAAAAGCAGCTTCCTCCTCGAGTGGCTCATGGAGGGGCACAGATATAGGTACCAACTTCTTTCTTCACCCTTTCCCTCTCTCCCTCCCTTTTCTTGGCTCTTTCTCCCTCCTTTCCCTCTCCCACTCTCCTCCCTGCTCTCCTGACCTTACTGTTCTGCTATCTGATGGAAAAATATCTGACTTTAGTCCCCTGACTCTGGCATTCCTGAGCTGTGTGAACTTAAGCCAGTCACTAACCCTCTCTGGGCCAGTATCCTCAAGGGAAAAATGGGGACTGCAATCCTTGATGATAAAAGGAGATAATCCACATAGAACACCCAGCACAGTGCTAGGCCCTCTAGATGTTTATCAGTATTGCTACCATCCTGCTGCTAGACCATTGGTAACAGCTTGCTATCTTCACCCACGTACCCCAGGCTGCACCCTAGACTCCTGTGGGTACTCCTAAAAAAATACCCAGGTCTCCCACATCCCAAGCCAAGTCAATGAAAATCTTGGGTGGTGGACACAGACATTGATAGTCTTTATTTTTAATTTTTTTTTCCCCCATACTGGGGACTGAACCCAGGGGCACTGTACCACTGAGCCACATCCCCAGCTCTTTTTTTTTTTTTTTGAAACAGGGTGTCGCTAAGTTGCCCAGGCTGGCCTCGAACTTGTGCTACTCCTGCCTCAACCTCCTGAGGTGCTGGAATCTTGGGGTGTGCACCAGGACGTACTCCTGGTTGATTTTTTTTCTTAGAATTTGTTTTAAGTTTATTTTCCTTTTAAGTAGCCTCTACATTTTAGAGAAGTTTTAGATTGCTCAACAAAATTTATCATAAAATACAGAGAGTTCCCGTACTGGTTGATATTTTTTAATCTTAAAATTAACATGTGGATATATTCATCAGTATTTTTAGTTTTATTTTCATTTTGGCACTGGGGATTGAGCCCAGGGGCATTTTACTACTGAGCCACATCCCCAGCCCCTTTTATTTTTAAGTTTGATACATGGGGTCTCCCGAAGTTATTTAGGATCTCACTAAATTGCTGAGGCTGGCCTTGAACTTGTGATCCTCCTGCCTCAGCCTCCTGAGTGGCTGGGATTGCAGGCGTGGGCCACCGCGCTGGGCTCACCAGTACTTTGGTAAAGCAATCCAGCTTGAGAGCTGCACCAAGAGCACCAACAACTCTGGATTACCCGGACTTTCCCAGTTTTAGCACTGAATGTCCCATGGCCCAGGGACCCCTTCTGCCCTGGCAAATTGGGACAGTTGGTTCCCCCTTCTCAAAGGAATGGACCCATATTTTCTTCTTTTTCTCTCACTTTTTTTTCTTTCTTTCTTTTTTTTTGGTTAAGGGGGATTGAACCCACGGGCACTTGACCACTAAGCCACACCCCAGCCCCCTTTTCACATTTTTATTTAGAGACAGGGTCTTGCTGAGTTGCTTGAGGCCCACTAAATGGCTGAGGCTGGCTTTGAACTCCATCCTCCTGCCTCAGCCTCCGAGCCTCTAGGATTACAGATGTGCACCACGTCCCCTAAATGCTGGAACAGGACGTGTGGCCGGTGGTGGCTCAGTCAGACAGGTCCCCGTCATCAGTCACTCCGGGGCTGCAGCCCCCGGCTGCCTGTTCCATGGCCCTCACCCAGCGGCCCTTTAGCTCCTCCGTCTCGGCCTTGAAGGTGTAGAGCTGGCCCGACTGTTGCAGCTGGAAGGCCCTGGGGTCCCCCTGGGGCCCAGGGGTCACCTGGTAGCCCAGCAGGGGGATGGAGGTGTGGGCTCGCATGTCCTGGGGGAGGAAGGAGAGGTGGGCTGCCACCCCACCAGCCCTCTGCCCTGCGCCAGAGCACACACTGCCCCTGAGACCCCAGGGGGGTCCCCCATAAAGACCTGGCCCTCAGAGGGGGAAGGACCCGGTAGCTGCTGTCTGGCTCCAGCTCAGATTGGACTCTGGGCCTCGGTGTCCATCTGACAAAGGGGCCAACCCTGCCCTGTACCGTGGGGAGGCCAGACCCGGGCAGGCAGGTGGTGGCCTTACCTGAGGAGCCCCATAGACGTAGAGCACCAGGGGGTCATCGCGGGGGATGACACACCAGCCCCGGGGGCCGCTCTTGCCCCACTTGTCCCCGAGGAGCTGCAGGAAGCTGCACATCAGACTCTGGCCGGGCCCAGGCGGGGCGCCTTTCTGGAAGCAGAGAGGACAGTGGCACCAGTGTCCTGGACGCCACAGGCAGGCCTGGGGCTGGATGACTCCCTGTTTAATCTTTGAAGCAAGGAGGGGTCATTTGCCCCGGGGACTCAGAAATGTCACACCATGTGCCTATGTCACCAGGCTGGCCAGTGGCTGAGCTGCATGGAGCCCCGACGGGACCTGACCCGAAGCGTGTGCGCCCATGGGGGGCAGGGGCCGGGAAGGCTTCACCCCTGGTGGGATGCCCCAAGGAACAGAGTTGGGGCCTGGGCAGGGACCAGGCCTGGAGGGACAGGGGGGATTTGGCGGGAGCCAGTGTCCGTGGGAAGGACCAACTTGAACCTGGGAGCAGACAGCTCCTTCTCATCTCCTAGGGACATGGCGTCCACCTGGCCTTTGGGGGGTGCGACCAGGATCTGGGCTGGGTGACATGGTATCTGTGGAACACAGCTGGGATCCCATAGGGGGCCTCTGTGGGGGAGGGGAGGGGCTCGGTGAGGCCCCGAGGCAGTGGACAGAACGTACAAAAGTGTGGGGCAGGTCACCCTCTGGACCTGGGTCTCCACGGGAGAGGCCCCGCTGGTCCCTGAAGTCCCTTCCAGCTGGTGGACCCTGCAGTCTCTCAGGACTTCAAGGTGGACAGAGCTCAGGCTCTGCCTGTCCTGGAGCCTCAGTGTCCCCATCTGTCCAGTGGTGTCTGAGACACCTCCGAGGACCGTGGGGCAGGCCTCGGGGACGTGGGCAGAGACACAGAGGCGCTTCTGTGTGGTGCCAGGCCCCCGGTGCCCGGCTGGGGGAGGAGAGGAGGGGAGGTGTGACCGCACTGCCCCTCAGCACCCAGGACCCGCCCAGCAGGGACCCCAAGGTCAAGGGACAGGAGGCCCCACCTCCAGGATGCCCCGCCTCCTGTCCCTGTCCTCGGGCAGCACGCTTCCCGTGAGGAAGGTGAAGCAGTCCAGGCAGACCCTGCTGGGCCGGTTGCCGTCGTACTTGAGCTCGGCCTTGTAGTCGGAGCACCGGGCGCACACCACCTGGGGGACACGGCATCGGTCAGCGGGCGGGGACAGGAGAGCCATCGGGCTGCAGGGGCAGAGCAGAGCTGGTCCCCCAGGCTGCCAGGCTCTGGGTCTGAGGCTGTAGGCCTGAGGCCTGGCCCCTCTGCTAGGGCCCCAACTTCCCCCCTTTCATGGGGGGGGGGGGGGCGGGACTCTGGGGGCCTTAACCCATTCACTTATCAAAGTGCTCTAAGTGAAGGGCCAGGGCTCTTGTCCTCGTGTGAGGGTGACAGCAGGCCAGCCCAGAGGGGGCAATGACTTGCTGAGGGCCACACAGCAAATTGGCAGCGCAGACCCTCCACAATCAGGGTGTGTCTTTAAAATCCCTCTGTTTGCTTTGGGACTCATGCAAATTTTGCCTTCTACTCCATCCCAGAGTCCAGAATGTTCTAATAGAAAAAATGATGGGCCAGTTGTTTTACCTGGGAAGAGATGGAGCGCGCGCTCGCGCACACACACACACACACACACACCGCCCCGAGTCCATCACTGAGAAGCCCCAAAGGCTGCCGTGGATCAGGCTGGGGAGACCAAGGGAGCCAGGTGTAGGGAGACCCAGGAACAGCACCCAGCAAGATGGGCAGCCAGGAAGGGGGTGCAGGAGCAGGGGCGAGAGGAAGGGCCCGGGAGGGGCGTGTGCGCCCAGGGCAGTGCTGAGCGTCCCTCCCTGGCAAGCCTCCCGTCTGGCAGCCGGGGAGACGGAAACCAGGCACCTGGGCCACCGAAAGGATGAGTCACCGACTCCCAGGGCGCAGAGATGTGCTCGGGCACGAGAGGCCGCGGCAGCCAGGGCCCCACACAGAGGCTCTGGCTGGCCTGGGAGTATTTTATTTTTGTTGAGAGATTTAAATCATTTACTATAACTAGTAAATATTTTTCTGCTTCACCAACTTCTAATTTTGCAATTCTTCAAAACTACAGGCAAATTGGAGCTCTTTTTTTTTTCCCCCCTGTGGTACTAGGCATTAAAGCCAGGGCGCTCAACCACTGAGCCTCATCCCCTGCCTGGTCTCGTTGAGTTGCTTAGGGCCTCACTAAATTGCTGAGGCTGGCTGTGAACCCCTGATCCTCCTGCCTCAGCCTCCCGAGCCTCTGGGATTCCAGGTGTGGGCCACCTTGCGGGCCTCTTCCCTGTGTTTAGGGACTCCTTACACAGGTGCGAGTGTAGATGGATGAGACTTTCACTTACAGAACAGCAGCGAGTCCCCAGACCTCTCCTATTTGGCGGGTGCATGTGACTCAGGGCTTGCCTGCTGTGTGTAGGTGTGTCCTCGGTCCTAGAAACTGACCTCTGTCCTGATTGCAGTCTAATGTATTTGGGGAACACCTCCTTGACTAGCCCCAACCTGTCCTGTGCACTCCTCCTGTGCCCCAGAGGTTGTTAAAGACGGAGGTTGCCTTGGGCTTCTCTGCTTGCAGAGTAGATAGAGGGGACATGCTGTGACAGGGACGGGCTCCCACAGAGCAGCAGGTGCACCAGGCGCAAAGCAAGAGGTGTTGGTGGGGGTGGGGGCTGCCCTGGCTCCTGAGCCCAGCTGAGCACCGACCCTTGGGAAATGGTGGACAGACGGCAGGTGGGAGGACAGGGTCAGCTCCCAGGTCCTTTTACTAATGGGAGCTTCATTTCCTATCTATGAAGCGGGGCTTCTCAGCTGAGCGCTGCTGGGGCTGCACCAGGCCGCCTGCGCCCAGGCTCAGGGGCTGGGCAGCAGCTGGCCAGGAAGGAGCCCTGGTTGGACATTGGGGCGGGGGCGCTGGCGGGGGCACTCACGTAGCCACAGGCCCTGCAGTGGTGGCGCCGGCGGGTCAGGGCGTTGAAGGGCTCCTGGCAGCGCATGCACATGGTCACCATCTTGTCCCGCACCCACTGCGGGGCTCGGAGGCCCAGCTCCTCAGACTGCAGCTGTGGGGCAAGGAGGGCTGGGCAGCGGCGCTGGAGGAGATCTGCGCAGCGGGGTGTCCCTGGGGGCTTCCACTTGAAACTGACTGAACTCATCAAGCCTTCGTGACGGGTTACTTACTACAATTCTTATTTTACATGTGAGAAAACTGAGGCCCAGAGAGGTCCAGTCACTCAGCAAAGTCACCCAGCAAGCTCATATAGGAAATCAACTCCCAGATAGTCTCCCTAACCCACCTCACTTGCCTCCCCGGTCCCATGGGCTACGTTTCTCAGGTAATTTCAAATCCTAAACTTGCACTTGGCCGGCAGCCAGAGCTGGAGTCTCTGTCCCCTTCCCTGGGACACTGCAGGGGGCGGCCCCCCAAGGCAGTTTTTGCTAGTGGGAAACTTTGTCTCGGAGTCGCTGACTGGGGAGATGTTGGGAGGAAGGGTGGCTTCAAATCACTCCTGATGGGTGACACTCCCTGTCCCTTGGAGCCGGCCAGGGTGGAGCAGAGAGGGAGCTCATGGGAGGGGGCTCCACAGAGGGGGCACAGGCTTCACCAACCTGCTCCTGGGCGTCGCCCTCGGGGCCCTGCACTGCAGCCTTGAAGGTTTCATTCCGCTTCTCAATTTGGTCGATGGCTGCTTGGCAGGCCTGGGGCGGAGGGCGGAGAGGGGGTGTCACTGAGGAGCTGCAGGGAGGGCTCATCTCCTCACCCACCCACACACCAACAGACCCAGCAGAGAACCAGCCAGTACCAGGCCCTGGCCCCCAAGCACACAGGGGCTGACCCGAGGAAGGAGAAACTAGCCCCAGAGTACAGATGTAAAAACTGAGGCCCAGAGAGGATTTCCAGCAAGGCAGAGAGAGGCAGCAGGATTTGAACCCAGGGCTGACTCCAAACTCCACTGACAGACCAGGGAGCAGCTGGGCACACCCAGATTCTAGGGTCAGAGTCTTAGGAGCCCTGGAGCGTTCCCATACCTGTATCCAGGAAGCCATTTCCTCCTGGGACCTGCTCAGAAGGAAAGTGCTCATGGGTGTCCAAGGCGCGCGGCCGGACCCCTGCCTGCCCCCCCAGCCGCTCCTACCGCGCCTGCAGCTCCAGGGTGCGCTGCTTCCCCGACACCAGGAAGCAGTGGGGGAACTCGGCGTCGGGCAGCTCCCGCACCTGCAGGCAGGGGGGACCAGTCAGCCCTGTCACTCTGTGTCCCCTCCGCAGCACAGCGGAGAGAAGGGAGGTGGGTTGTGCCCAAGAAGCCGTTCACATTCGAGGACAGGGATGGGGAGCTGGTCCTCCACCTCCTTAGTCCTGCCCAACCAGCAAAAGGCACCTGTCGCTGGGCCCCCTCTAAGCCAAGCGGCCTTGAAGCTCCGGGAGTCCCAGCTCCGGTGGCCCAGTGTAGAATGCAGGTAACAGCCCCCCACAAAGCTTCACCCCAAATGGAAACTGGGTCCCCAAACCAGGCGGGTATGTGAGGGCTTAGTGCACCATTTTCTTGGCTTAAAAATGTCCATAATAAAAAGGCTGAAGGAGGCCGTGGCCCACGCCAGTGATCCCAGAGGCTCGGGAGGCTGAGGCAGGAGGATCCCGAGTGCAAAGTCAGCCTCAGCAATTTAGCGAGGCCCTAAGCAACTCTGTGAGACCCTGACTCTAAATAAAAAATAAAAAGGGCTCAGTGGTTAAGTGCCCCTGGGTATCCCCAGGACCAAAAAAAAAAAAAATATTAAAGAAAATAATCTCCGCAGCAACTTTGGAAGGCAGACATTACCATCCTCATGGAGGAGGAGATGAGGACACAGAGACCTGCCTGAGGTCACACAGCATCGAAATGGCAAAGTAAGGGTCGCAGCTCAGGTTTTGGGAGACCAAAGCTCAGGTGGGAGAACATCTCTCCACCCCAGCCCTGGGTCCTGGCAGCACAGACCTCCTGGGCCCCGGGGAGAGGGTCACAAAAGAACCTAGACACACCTGCGCCTGTGCCTGCGCCTGGGAAACTGGGGCCTGATGCCACCTGACCCTTGAGCCCTCTGCCGTGCCTCGCAGTGGCCGGGACTTCACACGTGATGGGGGGGCACCGCATCCCTGACAGCACTGACCCCGAGCACGTCCTTCCCCCCAGCAGGCCTGGCCTCGGCCCCAGAGCCAGTGTCCCCTCTGCTAGGGCCTGCAGAGGTTTGGACTTGCCGCCCTGGGCCCCGGGGAGGCCGCCAGGCGGTGAGAGGCGAGGTGGGGGGAAGAGAGCCAGGGAAAGCCACCCAGCGGCCTGCGCTCAATCAAGGACAAAACAGGGCTGGGGGTGTGGTCAGTGGCCCTGCGTCAGGTCCCCTGTAACACCCCCCAAAAGAAGGGGAGCTGAGAACTCCTGACCTGAGGGTCGAGGTCCCCCCTGAGATGCTCACAGAGCCTCTGCTGCACCCAGCCCCACCCAGCCCCGGGTGTGGCCACCGCGGAGCCCTGCTTGCCCACACAGTCCTTTGTCTTCATTGGTGAAAGGACCCCCTTCCTCCAAATGACATCTGTTTACTGACATCTGTTGGCAAACTGGCATAACATCCAGATTTTGTTGGAACAAGACATTTGACTGCCATCTGCCGGACACTTCTCACTATAAATATGCCATCTACGCTACTGTCAGAGTCGGCCAATGAGCAGTCTGCTGCAGATGGCACCCTCTCAGATGAGGTATCCTGTGCAGTGCACAGCCTGCACAGCTGTACATGGAGTCCCTGAGGGGCTGGACCCATAGTCCTTCCTTCTTTGCAGACTGGCCCTATGCAGGATGGCAAAACATTAAGACCAGGTGAGATTGTGGAGTCAGCTGACACACCAGAGGGAGGCCAGCGTGTCGTAGAAGGTCGGTGAGAGCCATCTTGATCGTTCAAAACCAGACGGCTTCTTCTAAACCTCAGACTCAGAAAATGGTCCAGCACAGACATGGGGCTGTGGACAGCTCGGCACCTGCCATACCAGTACCATCCAGGAGAGGGTGCTGTGTGGCCGCTAGAGGGAGACAAGCTCACCAGCCACCAAGGACATATTTTCTTTCTGGTGCTGGGGATGGGCCCCAGGACCTTGCACACGCCAAACACGCACTCTACCACCAAGCTGCACCCCACCTCTACGAATTTTCTCTTTATGTTATGTGTCTGTTTCTTGACCTTTCTGTCAATCTCTGCCTCCTTCTCTGTGCCTGAGTCTGTGACAAAATGCCACCCACGGAGGATCCCACAGAGACACCCTTGAACACATCCCGGCCTCTGGGACATTCTGGCCACTTGGGGGTGGAAAGTTAGATCCCCGGGGGTGAGGACACACTCCTCCCTCAGTCAGCTCAGGGTGGGGATGGGCTGTGAACCCCCAGGAGGTGCCCATGACCCCACGGGCCATCAGCGCCTGCAGGCTGTGCCCACTGCAGACAATCTAGCGTGGAGCAGGGGGATCCCCAGCTGTCTCAGGGCCCAGGCTCCAGACTGGAGCACACCTGCAGCTCGGGCAGGGTGGGGGATGGGGACATGGAAGGGTCGAGGGAGGCCAGGCCCCTGCAGTTCCAGCCCTGGCTTCAGGACACAGTGGGCTCAGAAGCCGGCAGGGAGTGCCGTGGTCAGGACGGGTGGCTGCCACTTCCTCCTCAACGTCTGAGATTTGGCCACAGACTTCACAGCTCTGGGCAGAAGCCTCACTTGGGAACTTTCAGCGTGGGGATTAGACCACAGGCTCCAGACCCAGGTACGCTTGGGGCTTTGAATCCAGGTTGTCCAAACCAAGATTTGCCGCAAGCAAAACACTTAACCAGAGTCTTGGTTTTCTTATCTTTCTCAGCGGGATCAACAGTAGTTGCACTCACACTCAGGCTGACTTTGAAAGGTTATTTCCTGCAGCTGACAACTGAAGACAATCTACACAGCCCTGAGCAGAACACTGGTTGAGTAAATTGCAGCCCACCCACAGTGGAATACTATGCAGCCACATAAAAAGATGAGGCAGCTCTAATGTGCCAAGGGCAACACTCTCCAGAACTACTAGTGAAACAATCAGGGTGCAGGGCCATGGCCATGGTAATAGTATGTATGTGCAAAGAGAAGCCAAGGTGACTTCAAGAGGGGGGACAAGGGGACAGGGCAGGGAGGAGACTGCTCATTGTATATATATTTTTATATTGTTTGATTTTGAAATATGTATTATCTGATTGTTAGAGAATGCAATTAACATCAGCAGCAGCATTATTGTTATTTTGGGCAGCACTAGGGCTTGAACCCAGGGCTTCCTGCATAGAGGCCTGTGCTCTACCTCTGAGCTACATCCCGAGCCTTGATTATTTTTTGAGACAAGGTCTCACCAAGTTGCTCAGGCTGGCCTCGAACTGGGAATCCTCCTGCTTCAGCCTCCCAGATGGCTGGGATTACTGGTGTGTGACACTGAGCCTGGCTTATACAGACATTTTAAAGGGCTGGGACGGCAGCTGGAGACGCAGCCCAGGGGTGGCGTCCTTGCCTAGCATGCAGAGGCCCTGGCTCACTCCCCAGTACTGCCCGGCCCTGCTCAGACCTGCTGACTCAGAACCTGCAGCCACCACGCCACCAGGGGCCTGGAGGGCACGTCACTCCTTGAAGCCTGTGGACCATGCCCCACCCCTCGGGCCCAGGAAGGGCCCCTGCAGGAGGCTGGTCCCGCGGGTGAGCTCTCCCTCCAGCTCCTCCAGCCCCGCGTGCTGAGGACCACCAGCTCCCTCACCGCCCAGGACCTGGGTCACCCCGGGGCGCTCTCCCACCCTGAGCCCACTTTCCGGCAGAGCCTCTCACCTTCATCCCGGCCACGTCGATGCGGGTCCTAACCTGGAACTGGGCGCCCACCTGGATGACCCTGGGCACGCAGTAGAGCAGCATGTTGTTGAACTGCGGGGACAGGGGCGGGGTGAGTGCGTGGGCGGGGCTTCCCAGGGTAGGCGGGGCTTCCCGGGGTGGGCGGAGCCACTGACCCAATCCCCTCTGGTCACTCTCTGGCCTAACTCCCTGGACTTCACAGAGGAGAAGGAAGGGGGCTGTCTAGCCCCTGCCCCACTGGGATGGTGCTGAAGGTCACCTTACCTGTGGGCCTCGAGGGAACAAAGCCAACCTCAGAAACCTACTAGGCTGGCATAGGGCCCAGGGCCTTGGGGGAGGGAGGTGGGACCACCTTGCCAGATCTCAGGGGAGCCCCTGGCTTCTTCAGAGTGAAGAAGGCAGTTCTTCCTGGTAGCTAACCTAATGCCTTCCTGCTGTGCCTGTCCTAGAACAGGATTAACACTGGTTTGAACCCAGTTCAAACTCCAACAGTTTTATTTGCTGGGGCATCTCTGGGAAGATTGTAGTTAGAAATTCCTGAGGCCCAGAGGTAGTTCCTGACCTCCTAAGTCACCAGGCATCATAGCACAGTACAAAACACGGGTCTTCCCTGCCCCCCCCCCCCTGCAGTGCCAGGTAGTGGCCAGACAGAGGCCACCTGGGCCAGAGGAACCGGGAGCTCCCCTCCCCAGGGTGGGAGGCTCCCAGCAGCCCCTACCAAGAAAAGGTAGCGCTCCATGGGGTCGCTGCGACGGAAGGAGATCTTGAGGACCGGGCCCTCGCGGAGCAGGTGGTTGGAGGGGTCCACGATGTCGTCGTCGAGGCCCAGGCGCTGGTACACCTCCCACAGGTCCTGCAGCCGCTCCTAGGGGAGGGGCACTTCAGCCAGGCCAGCAGGGCCCTGCTCTGTGGAGCCGGACGGGCGGGCGGCTGGCAGTGGGCAGGCGTCGGGGCCGAGTGGATCCGGCCACAGGAGGCAGGACAGGCCCAGGGGTCCCCCACGCGCTCGCCCAGGGTCGCGCTTACCATCTCAGCGATGGCCGCATTGGAGTGCTGAGCCGCAGAGAAGATCATGTCCAGGGCTTCTGGAGAGGAGGCAGGCCAGGGTCATCCCCTGACAAGCTGGGGCTAGGGGCTGGAGGCTGGGATGGGAGGCCCTCGGGACCTCCAGCACTGCCCCTGGGCGTCCTGCACAGGCGGTGTCTGGATGGCGCAGGCCATGGAGGGTAGGGAGACTAGAAGGGACCCGAAGGCAGCGCAGTTTGGCTTTGGTGACTCCCTGTTGCCTGAACAAAGCCGGAACAGTGGGAGAAGCACAAGGTTTGGCACCCTACAGCTCTCCTCCTTTCCGGCTGTGTGACTTTGAGCAAGTCACTTCAACTCTCTGGGCCTCAGTGACCTTTTTTGACACACAATGGCTCGCGGTATGGATAATGTCCATAAGGTCTCAACCACCGTTACTGATGATGACGATCCTACAGTCATATTGTAGGTGCTCAGTAAACAGGTGGGCGTGCCCCCCCCCCACCCCCAGCCCTGGCTCCTCACTCTGGGCGTCCGCGCGGTCGGGGGCCTGCGCCGGCAGCTTCTGGACGTACTCCCTGAGCAGCAGCTCGTAGCGGGGAACCCTCTGCACCGGTTCCAGCATGTGGTGCTGCAGGGTCAGGCTCCCAGAGGCCTCGCTGCTCTGCGGAGGAGCAGGTGGGCGGGCGTGGGGCGGGCGGGAGCCGGGAGACGCCCAAACCCCAGCCAGGCTCCCCTCCGGCCTCACCTGGATGCGGGCGATGACCTCCTGGAAGGGTGGGGACTTGTCGGTCCAGGTGGCCAGCAGCTCTGCCGCTCGCCCAAAGTTCTTGACGTACTCGCTGTACATCTTCAGGAACGGGGCCAGTTTCTGGATCACGTCCCCGATGCGGGGCGTGGCCGTCCTGCGCAAGGACACCCAGGGATGGTCCTCAGCCTGGCCACCTCCTCTGTGGACTCCAGTTGGGCGGGGTGGGGCCTGCTCCCTGAACAGCCCTGGGCTCTGGTGGTGTGGGCGGGCTGGTCCCCCAGGCGCCCCCAGGACAGGCGTCCTGTCCCCTGGCCCCCACCTCCCCAGCGCTAGGCCTGCCACAGGGCTGGGCTACTCCTCCATGCTTGGTCGTGGAGCATGACCAGGGCCCTCCCGCACCTCAGCCCTTTCCACTCTCACAACCCTGCGGGTGGAAAGAGCCTTTAGCCCATCTTAGAGATGAGAACAGGAGGCTCAGAGGGTAAGAATGTATCCACATGCTCCCAAGGCAGGGCCTGGGGGTCATTCAACCCAGGGACAGTAAGAAGCCACCCCGGGAGCTGGCCTGCCTCAGCTGCATTTCCACCACATCAGTCACTCCCGCTGTCCTTGGGCCAATCACGTGGCCTCTCTGTGCCTCAATATCTACTCTGAAACAAATGGGAATGATGGTAGGTGGACTCATAGGGTTGCTCTCTCTCCCTCTCTTATGTGTGTGTGTGAGTGTGGGGGATACTAAGGATTGAACTCAGGGACCCTCTACCTCTGAGCTACATCCATGTCCCTTTTTTTTTTCTTTTGAGACAGAGTCTTGCTAAATTGCCCAGGCTGGCCTTGAACTTGCAATCCTCCTGCCTCAGCATCCTAGGTCACTGAGATTATAGGTGTACACCACCACACCAGCGCTCGCTCTCTCTCTCTCTCTCTCTTTGTACCAGGGATTGAACTCAGGGGCACTTAACCACTGAGTGCTATTTCGTATTTTATTTAGAGACAGGGCCTCACTGAGTTGCTAAGGTCTTGTTAAATTGCTGAGGCTGGCTTTGAACTCAAGATCCTCCTGCCTCAGCCTCCAAAGCTACTGGGATTACAGTCATATATACCACCGCTCCCAGCTTATAGTTTATTTATTTTAGCGGTAGATGGATACAATACCTTTATTTTATTTATTTATTTTTATGTGGTGCTGAGGATCGAACCCAGGGCCTCACACGTGCTAGGCGAGCGCTCTACTGCTGAGCCACAGCCCCAGACCTTAAAATATTTACTTTAATGGTGATTACAAAGTAAAACACATATCTGTAATAAGGCCCCTATCTATTGACCACCAGTCGGTGACCTTCTCCTTTACCGAAGACTTCCAAGGACACTTTGGACATCATGGCATTTCTTTGGCAAAATATATAAAGCAAGTGACTTTTTCCATGAAATGGTGGTTACCTCTGAAAGCAAAGAGGGTTTCTCGTGTGACCACAATGTGGCCATCGAGTGGCCGCTGATTCCAAGGTTGGATCAGTTACCAGACGTGAAGTCCAAGGCCAAGGTCAGTGTGGCTGCTCCACAGCCTCCAGCCCCACCGCCCCTTCCTGCGCACACCTGTGCCTGTCCCTCCCTCGCCCTGGGGAGGGACCACCATGGCCACACAGCGGGCACAGGCCAGGCTTGGCGGCCTCACCAGTCCTCCAGGCGCCGCTGCAGTTCAGGGAGGAAGAAGCGGGCGTGGAACTGGTGGATGGAGGAGATGTTGGAGAAGATGAGCCGGACCACGTCCTCGGGGAAGGCCTTGCTGCCCTGCGCCTCCCGCAGCAGCTCCTGGAAGAACACCTGGGGCCGCCACCCTGGGTCACCGGCTGCTGGGGGAGCGCCCACCGGCCCACCCGGGGGAGGCAGCCCAGCCTGGGGAGAGGGGCCTGGGGTGCTGAGGGCTCTGCCCCTTGACCTCCCAGACTCCCGCCCGCAGTGGCCCTGTGGGAGGGACAGCAGGGAAGACTGCTCTGGCCACTTCACAGTTTTGGGGATGTGGGGATTTGGCCAAAGTCTGATGCCTGACTAACGTAGGCCCGTCTGGGGTCTATGGAGTTCTCGGACCTGAGTCACCAGGCCGAAGCGCCCTGGGCTGAGGGTCAGCCATTTGGCCCTGTGGCTCTAGGGCTCCTTAAGGAAGTCAGGGTGTCCATGGGGGATGGCAGGTGAGGAGCCCGGACAGGCTGGGAGGACAGGCCAGGGGACAGGCCGGGGGGACAGGCTGGGGGACAGGCTGGGAGGACAGGCTGGGGGGACAGGCTGGGAGGACAGCCTGTGGGCGCTGGCCTGGCCACCAGGGATGTGAGGGGAGCGGGGATGAGGGGCTCATCCCCACTCTCTCAGCCTCCGGCCACAGGGTTCAGTGGCTTCAAACCCAGGGCTCCTAGCCCTGCTCTGAGGACAAGGGCGGGTGGCGGGCAGGGGACACTGGTGCTGGGCCGGGGGTGCTGGCCACTGGCCTGGTCCAGAAGGTGCAGGCGAGCCACGTAGGCCTGCTCCGTCTCCAGCAGCTCCCGGACCACCTTCTTCTCCTCGGGCTCCTGCAGGGACGGGAAGAGGAGAGGGGAGAAGGGAGCTGGGGCGCCTCTGGTGAGCCCTCGGTTTGTCACCATGGAGCACCCTCCGCTGTTCCAGCCATCCCCAGGGCATCTGGGCTGGCCCTGGCACCAGGCCATCAGAGAACCTGCAGATGGAGGCTGAGCCCGTGCTGGGTTTCAGAAGGGCCCCCTGAACCCGGCAGCTCCCTCGGGAGCTGGGAGTCACCACCTCAAGAGAGGCGGCTGCCTGATGGAGGGACCTCCAGGGGAGGCCCCAAAGAGGGGAGACTGGAGGCCACACGGAGAAAGGCAGCTCCTAGAAGCCCAGCCTCGGCTGTCCCTGCCCAGGGAGCAGCTCACAGGTTGAGCCACCCTGGGCATTCCAGCCTGCGGCGCCACCTGCCTGCGGCCACGTGAAAGAGACCTTGTTAGAGACTAAGGTGCCAGGGATGGTGGCCCACACCTGTGATCGCAGCCGCTTGGGAGGCCGAGGCAGGAGGATCGCAAGTTCAAAGCCAGCCTCAGCAATTTAGCAAGGCCCTAAGCAACTCAGCAAGGTCCTATCTCAAAATAAAATATAAAAATAAAAGTCTCAGGGCTGGGGTTGTGGCTCAGTGGTACAGCACTCGCCTAGCACGTGTGAGGGGCTGGGTTCGATCCTCAGCACCACATATAAATAAATGAATAAAATAAATGTATTGTGTATATCTATATATATTTTTAAATTTAAAGATAAAAGACTGACCTGCGTCCCCACCACACCCCAGCTCCCTGCTGAAGGCCTCACCTCCAACAGCTGTAGCTGTAATTTGGCAATGGGGGCCCTGAAGGAGGTAATTAGGGTCAAGTGAGATGAGGAGCACGGACCCTAAACCAATAGGATTGGAGTCATTTTAAGAAGAGAAGGGACCACTGGAATGTGTATGCACAGAGGAAAAAGGCCTCTCGGGGACACAGTAAGAAAGTGGCCATCTACAAGCCAGGAACAGAGGCCTCCCTAGAAACCACCCCCCCACACACACCTTGATTTTGGACTTGAGTCCCCAGAACTGTGGGAAAACACCTTTCTGTTGTCCAAAGCACACAGCGGGTGGGATTCTGGCAAGACAGCCTGGCAGACTGATGCAGACCCCAACCAAGACCAACAGAAGACTTGTCCTGCAGCATGCTGGTCACCCCAATAAGGTCATACTAGGCCACTATGTTTGGGGTGTCTGCTACACAACATTTGATCACCAGAACACACCACTGTGATCATCCATCATAAGGCACAGAGAGGTTAAAGTGACTGCCCAAAGTCACACAGTGAGAAAGAGGAAGAGCAGGGTGCAAGCCCACAGAGCTGGCTCTGGAGTACAGTCCTATGTATTGTCCCCCCCGGCCCCGATCCACAGTCCAGGAAACAAATCTGTAGGAGAGAGGTGACCCACTTGGGACCAGACCCAGTGTTAGTTTAAGGACAGGAAATCAGCACTCAGACCTCCATTTCTGGTGTGAGACTGGTGCCCCCTCCAGAGGGTAAACTGAGGCCACAGCTGTGAAGCATCCCAAGTTCACAAGGTGAAGACTGTTCCAAGCCCTGTGACCTTGAACAAGTGTCTTAAGCTTCAATTTCCTTGCCTAAAAGACCAAAATTGAACCACCACCACCACCCCGCCACCCAGGCTCTTGTGAGTCAACATGCACATATCAGAGACAGCATTTGGACTTTGTGTTTTGGGGACTGGCTTATTTCACTTAGCATGATAGCCTCCAGTTCCATCCATTTGCTAGCAAATGCCATAATTTAATTATTCTTTATGGCTGAGTAATATTCCATTGTGTATAGGTACCACATTTTCTTTATCCATTCATCTATTGAAGGCACACCAAGGTTGGTTCCATAGTCTAGCTACTGTGAGTTGAGCTGCTATAAACATTGAGGTGGCTGTGTCCCTGCAGTATGATGATTTTAAGTCCTTTGACTATATACCAAGGAGAGGGATGACTGGGTCAAATGGAGGTTCTACTCCATGTTTTCTGAGGAATCTCCACACTGCTTCCCCGAGCGGCTGAACCCATTTGCAGCCCCAGCAGCAATGTCAAGGGTGTGCCTTTCCCCACATCCTCGCCAACACGGGTTGCTCCTCGTGGGCTTGGTGATTGCCATTCTGACGGGGGTCAGGGAGGCATGGAATAACGGGCAGGTGGGGAGAGTCCAGGGGCTGTAGCCATCCCGGGCTGGTGAGGGGGGACCGTCCAGCTTCTGGCTGATCTCTGATCACACAAGCCCCCCGCTGGGCTCTGGCGGGAGACAGCATCTGCGGAGGCGGTCAGGGGAGAGGCCCAGTGCTTACCTGTGGCACTGCCCCTGCAGAGTCCCCAGGCTGGCAAGGTCTCCGCCAGGCCCCACTGGACAGCTTGTTCTTCAGGGAGCTCAGACACCTCCTGCTCACGGTCCTGGGCCCAGACTCGGGGGTCTCCCCGACATGCGGCTTCTCCCATGGCTCTGGGGATGGTGGCTGGGCCTGGTCTCTGGGCGCTGTTCCCGGGGTCCTGAGAAAGGAGCAGACCCAAGAGTGTCCTTGTCAGAGAACAGGGAGAACCGCAGCCTGTCCCCGTGAGGGTTCGGGGGGTGACTGATGTCCATTTCTGGTGGGCAGCGGCTCCCGAGCGCCCGGCACTCCGGAGAAACTTGCCAAGTAAGACTTCCACGTCTCTCCCGAACCTTGGAGGGAACTTCAGTCTTCAAGATGAGTCAGTGTGCCCTGTTTTATTCTCTGGGGAACTACATACTTCCCTGTTTGAAATGCAGTCGAATTCAGAAGACCCTCCCCCTTCTACAGACAAAGCTTATTAGTTGGCTCTTCTCAGATCACCCTGCGCCTCACCCCTGCATCAATAACTGATACATGGAGGGAAGGTGGGAGCCATGGAGTGATCTAAAGTGAGGGCAGACCTGCTAAAGCTCAGATGGGACCTTGGCTCCCCACATGACCCGCTGAAGAAAAACCAGGCTAAGAGCAGATCCCCTGCTCCCCCAGGACAGGGCTTCCAAGGGCAGCTTGGCTACCCTGCGTTCTGGGTCTGCTGGTCAGTTACATTCTGTAGATGAGGGACATAACCACCCTCACTGGATATGTCCAGTGACATGGGCTGTGCCCCATCTCCCCTGGCATGGAGAGGCTGTGACCACAGCGCAGAGCAGGCATTGTTATGAGAAAGAGGCTGGAGCGTCACGGGTCAGACACGTACGCAAGCTCCAACTCTGCAGGAAAGGATTCTTATGATTCCCATTTTGTAGCCATGGAAACTGAGACACAGGAAAGACAGGGACTTGCCGCTTGGATGCGACAAAAGTGGGATTGGGATCAGACGGGCCGGTCCTGAGCCTTGGCCCTGAGCTGCTTCTCATCTGCGTAAAGGAGAAACAGGTCCAGAGAGCCACGGTGACCTGCCCCAGGCCACCCAGCCGGTGGGTGGCAGAGGGATCAGGGGGCCAGGCTGCTGCCCCAGGACTCTCAGCCCTCCCCGGCACCCCAGAGCTGCTTCCTCAGCCTCTCGCCTGCAGCCTGGCCGGGCCGCCCGGGCTTTCTGTTCTACACTCGGGTTCAGCTTCTGCATTTCTCTGCCCGCGCCAGGCCCACTTCTGCTTCCTCCTCACCCCGGTTTCCCATCAGCCGAGCCTTGGAGCCCCCCGAGAAGCCTGGGCCAGGCGCTGGCGGGGCGCCCCTCACTCAGTAGAGGCTGGTCACCCTCCTGGTGGCACCTGTTGGGTCGCCATTCAGGTCTCAGGGCTGCCCGCTCCTTCTAGGGTGCTGCTGGGCAGCCGCAGGGTGCCCGGGGGCTCCACTGAGGTCACCCCACACCTGGCATGCTGGCTGAGGCCCGCGGCCCCCACACCCGGGGCTGGGTGGGCCAGGAAGGCGGTGCCTGAGAGCTGTCCTCGGTGCTGAGCGGGACGAGCTGGGCCAGGACCCTGGGAGAGTCAGGGCAACGTCACCCAGCTCAGGTGGCTGCAGGGCCCTCTGGGTGGATCAGGCCCACGGGAGGCTCTTCCTGTACAGCACCTTGGCCCCTCCTAGGACGTCTCCTGCCCACGACCTTGCACCGTGGTCACTACAGGAGCTTAGCATCCGAACACGGGTAGCCTCCTCCTCCTCCTCCTCCTCCTCCTCTCGGGTTCCCACAGGTGCTGAGCCCCACTCCCTTCTGGATGGGGATCCGCTCACCTCCCCCAGCTGGGGAAGAGTCCCTGGCTGGCGGCTGCGGGAAGACCCCCTCTGGGAACCGCTCTCTGAGAGGGAGACCAACAGACTAGTCCCTGGGCGGTAAAATCCCAACCAGACCTCTGCCTCAGCAGGGACAACGGAGGGCCACCACCCCAGAGCTCCCTGGCGCAGGCCAGCCCCTCTCTCCTGTTCCTCTCTCCTCTGGTTGTCCCCAGAGCTCTCCACAATAGACCTCCTGCAGCAAATCCCTTCTCACAGTCTCCTTCCAGGGGACCTGACCCCCGGCTGATGCTAACACAGGCCTGGGCTTGGGGAATGTCTGCTGAGTGGTGAGGGCCACACACTCCCACACACACACACACACACACGCACTCCCACACACACACACACACACACACACATGCACCCCTTGCCAGGCCACCAGGGACCTCCCACATCTGATCCTGCCTGTTCCCTTCAGCAGAAGCCTCAGCATTGCCCCAAAGCACAGCAAGCACATGGACTGAAAGCAGGGGCGTCCCGGGGTCTCTGTTTCCTCATCTGTAAGGTGGACACAGAAGCAGAGGCCGCGCAGCCCAGGTTGGCCGTGAGGATGATCATGGCACGAAGGGGGCGCAGACGGTGCCCTTGGGCAGGCTGTCCGTCCGTCCACCCTGCCTCGCCGGGCACAGTCCCCGCTTCTCTCTCCGTTTCAATGACGTCCACTTTCAGTTTCGATGTGTCCTGTGGCAGTGACCAGCTATAGGTTTGCCCTACCCACAGGGAGGAGATGCTCAGGAAGGATTAGCTATTACTTCTGGGAGGTGCTGGAAGGGCAGTGGGTGGGGTCTGCAGCCCCGACACTGCCCTTGTCCACTCCCCCCATAACGACACTGGTTTTTGGTTTTGGGTTTTTTTTTTTTTTTGTGGGGGAGGTACAAGGGATTAACCCAGAAGTTCTTAACCACTGAGCCACATCCCCAGCCCTTTTTTGTATTTTATTTAGAGACAGGGTCTCGCTGAGCTGCTCAGGGCTTTGCTAAATTGCTGAGGCTGGCTTTGAACTCAAGACCCTCCTGCCTCAGCCTCCTGAGCAGCTGGGATTTCAGGCCTGTGGCACCAAGCCTGGCTCACACTGGTTTTAACTCTTCCAACACACAGGGCTCTGTCATGGTGCCGCGTTCCTGGACCCCAATTGCACTCTCTATGCTCCAAGGGACCCATGACCAAGGGTGTGGGTGCTGCCCAGACAGGAGGATGCTCAGGGCAGGACCCCCCAGAGCGCTATTCGCAGAGGGGGCTCAGGAGGCCCTGGAGCATGTGCCGCTGGGCACAGGACGGGAGGGCTGCCTGCATGACCGCAACCCTCCCCCGCAGCCCAGTACCTGCTGTTCTCAAACACAGTCACCAGGTTGGACACAGAGGCCAGCTTCTCATTTGCCGGCTCCATCCCGCCGGCCTGCAGGGTGGTCCTGAAGTAGGGACGGGGACTTCTAGCAGCAGACTCAGCCACCCTGGCTTGGGGACGCGATGGACTAGGACATCCTGGAGTGGGCTCCCATCTTCCCACGGGCTCAGCAGGCCGGCTCCTGGCTTCAGAGTGAAGAAAGAGGAAGTGGTCCCAGGGCCGCCTGCAGGGAAAGGCCCTGTCCCCGAGTGGGAGGGGCCAGCAGGCCCCACCCTCCCCATGGGGCTGATGTCCCCCTCCTGGGGACCCCAGGTCCAGAAGCCACCCGCAGGGGGTAACAGGGCCAGGGGTGGATCCTGGAGCTGGACCCCAGGCTTCCTTCTGTGCGGAGTGGCTCTGGCCAGCCACGCTGGCCCTGATGGGCCCCAGGGGTCTTCCCTTTGGCCCCTCTTCCAGCAACTTCTTCTCTGGATCTGTCCCTCTTCACTGCTGTAAGGAAACTGCTTGTCCTCAGAACTTGATCACAAACCTGCCCAGGGCTGCCCGGGAGGAGCTCGTGGCCGTCCACCTCCTTACTGGGTGCTCACAGATCAGCCGTCACTGTCTTCCCCTTGTGGCCCCCAGGGAGGGCAGCTTCCGCCCTGAAACTTGGAAGATAATAATAGCTAACACAAGCACTTTTTAAGCTTTATAAGTATTTTCTTATTTAATTCATAATCATCTTAGATGAGTCCAATTACTATCCCCATTTTCTATAAGAGGAAATTGAGGATCAGAGAGGTTAAGTAACTTGCTTGAGGTCACCCAGGAAGAACACAAGAGAATTTAAGATTTTCAAAACAAAGGTGGGTGTTCTACAGTTCCAGCAAAGATTTTTGTTGGGAGCCTGGATAAACACCTGGCAGCTCCATCCTCAGGCCTCCTGCTGCTTGCATGCTGGGTTGTGTCTGCCTGATGCCTCCTGGGCCACCTAGTCTACCAGTTTTTCTAGACAAACGGCCACTGCCTCTGTTTTTCTCAATCCAGCTTCACAGGCCATTCCTGGCCTCTCCCACTGGGTTCTGGTCTCTTGGTTCCTTAGCCAGGGCAGGGCCCTCCACTGAGATTGGTCTTCATCCTGGAGCATAGGGACTGAGCCTTAGTTATCTCAGTACCCTAAGCGCCTGGCACAGCTTCACGCTACAGCAACTGTGAACCCTGGGGCCTCACTTGCCACCAGCTGTATGTATTCCCTCAGGGCTTTGCAGGAGCTGCTTCCTCCACTGCAGAGCTGGCCCCGCCCCCAACCCTACATCCCACTGACCCTCCCCCCCACCCCCACATCCCACTGACCCTCCCCCACCCCCCACCCCCGCCTGTTCTGTTTCAGGTCTTATTTTTCATTATGAAGAATCTAGGGCCGGTAGAATGTTTGCCTAGCATGTGTGAGGCCCTGGGTTTGATCTTCAGCACCACATAAAAATGTATGTAATAAAGGTACTGTGTCCACCTACAATTTATACACACACACACACACACACACAGGCAGACACGACCCAGCATGCTCGTAGCAGGAAGACACAACCCAGTAGCTAGTAGC